CCCTTGCACTCTAATTAGCAAATCGTTGATGCGCGGTAGGGGCTCTCTGTTCTTTACAGTGATGGCATTGAGGCCCCTATAGTCAATGCACATCCTAATAGTACCCTCCTTCTTAGGCACGAATAGAACTGGAGACCCATAAGGAGAGACACTCGGCCGGATCCAACCCTTCTCTACGAGTTCCTTGAGTTGGCGGCGAAGCTCATCAAGCTCGCCTGGAGACATCCGATAGATCCTACCCTTTGGAATACTAGACCCTGGGATAATCTCTATCGCGTGGACGACCTCTCTTTCAACAACCCCTGTCGGCCCTTCAAATAGATCAGGGTATTTAGCAACTACTCCCTCTATCTTCGGTGGCATTTTCACCGGCTTGCCTGCAACAGAGACATAAAATAAGTACATACCCTCCTCCTGATTTTGCTTATAATAATTATAGAACAAGGCCGCACACATGCACCCGTAGGACTCAATCAGACTACTAGCTTTGAACTTGTGTAATCTGGCGGTCCCTCCATCTGGCAAAGTGTGTTTGACCACTTTTCGGTCCCAGTCAAACTGGGGCTGTGCCACTGAGAGGTAGTACATTCCTAACAACATGTCCATGGGGAGTTCATCGCTCACTAGGAACGAGACACGGTGTCTCAAGTCCCCTCCCGCGTACGGGAAACAACACTCTACATCCTGGAGGTAGTCGTTAACTACCATTGCGCTGTTTGTTGGCACAGGCCGACTCCACAGGTCGACTCAGGCGCTGCACTCGCCTCTGTAAGCGCAGTCTCTCAATGCACGCGTGACTAATAAAGTTCCGCGTCGAGCAAGTGTCATAATAGGCCCCGGCCTTGCGGCCGCCAATGGGGCTTTGATTAGGGCCGTCCAAGAAGCTAGCGAGTCTGATCTAGACCACTCCACCTCTAGCTCCTCTAAGGACTCAAACACATTCATCGAACAGAGGCTCGATGGGTCTGAATGTGTTTGCGGGACGATACTGGAGTCAATAGCTTGGGCCATCTCTCGAGATGGTGAGGGTGTCTCCACCACCTCGACCCTAGCAGGAACAGCTACAATTCCTACTGGCCCGACGCGTTTCCCGGAGCACTGCCTGATGTACTGGCAACGTTGCTACCAACGGGATGAGAGGATCCCAGCACCTGCCCCATCGTAGGCGGGATCTTTTCCGTCACCTTCTTGTTGCGGCACTTGAATTGGTTGTGGCCATATTGACCACAACGAATGCATGCCTGCCGTGTGTAACAGTCTCTCCACACGTCCTTTGTAAGACCCGCTTTCTCCCATGGAGGAGCATTGGGGTCAACTTGACTCCTAGACCGGAAGCCTCCGCGGCGTCCACCGGTCGCCTTACCTTTTTGAGCAACGACAACGACTACTCCACCCTCTGAAGCATCTATGCTGCCTGCCTTTGAACCTACTCCCTCTTGGAAGTGTTCATCTTCTTCGATGGTGGAACCATCATTATCGATGAACATCAAGCGACCCTTCGCCTTTCAGTTGGGAGGCATTGTCTTCTTTCTCCCATCGGTTGTGGATGCCTGTCCATGCCCTATCTTAGCTTCAAGGTCTAGGGCCACCTTGCTAAACGAAGGGAAGTTGTGCATCAATATGTTGGCCTCTTTTGCCAACTGGTTCCTGAGAGGCTGAGAAAAGCATCTTAGGTACGAAGTCAACAGGACTTGGGGGTCATAGCGCACCCCAGGGACACAGATCAGACTCTCAACAGCGTCGGTGGCTTCCCTTACTGACTTAAACTGCCGCGTGTGCAGTGTCAGGATCGCGTCTGTGGCCCTTTGGGCCTCCTGAGGATCATGCCATCTCTCTTCCACCATCTTCAGGAAGTCCTCCAATTTCTGGGAGGCCGCCCAAGCGCGGAAGTCGTGACCATATCCCTAAAGTTGCACTAGACCGCTCAACCATCTTGCTGCACTACCCTCTAGGTAGGAAGCAGCCACAAGCACTTCTTCGTGCGGCAAGGTGAGTTTACACCTGACGTAGACCGGCACTGCCCTCAACCATGTGTCGAGGTCTTCGCCTCTCTTGTCCGCTGTGAAAGGTTTGGGAGCGGCGATGGCCGTCTTTGGGACCCACTGAGTTTGTCCCGGTCCTTGCATCACTCCGGGCTGTGGACCCGGTGACACAGGTTGTTGTGCTAACTGCTGGGGCTGCGTGCCCTGAGGCTGCACAGGCTGCGAGACAGCAGGCTGCGTGGTGACTGCAATCTGCGACGGACTTGGAGTAAACACTGTCTGTACAGGAACCTGCAAACTACTCCCTGCTGTTACCCCTCCTGACAGCGGCATCCCCAGGGAAACGATAGCAACCGATGACGGGGCTATATATGGGGATACCCCTGTCACCGGTGGGACAAAAAAGGGAGGATATGGCATGGGCCAGGCACCAGGCCCGGCTGGTGATGGTGCTGCCTGAGCACGGCCTGCCAAAACGGCTAGGCTCTGTTGAATGTCCTGAAGGATGGTAGTTTGATGCTCCTGCATCTCTATAACGCCTAGCAGGGCCCTCCTAACTACCTTCACATCATCATCCATATGCGTGAGGTTCATCGTCTCTAACTCCTCTATATCTGCCCCTCTCCGCTGCATCCTGGCTCTCGTTCTGATCATCCTTTCCTTTTCCGCTTTTATCTCTCCTAATGCTCGCTGTAGCTGTGCCTCCTGCAGGGCTGCCTGCTGGATGGCGACATCCTCTGGGGTCAACACCGTGGCCTGGCTTGCCATAATGCCAGTGGACTGACTCACGGTCTGCGCGACCGTTGACCCGACGACACCTGAACTACTGGCTTGGGAAGTCTGCTGCGCAGAAGTGGACATGGCTGTAGTGGCCATGTCTGCTGTAGCACCGGCCTCACTAACTAAAGTTCTGCTGGCCTCGGCTGCTCTAGCCCTCCTCTGCTGCTGCTGCCTCTCCCTAAGCCGCGTAATAGAGTCTTATCACCCTCCGGTCCTAGGGACACGTGAGCTCTCGGGTCTCTAGCTGATCGCAAGATCCTACGGTCGTCCTCTCCGGTGTCCTCCTCGTCGCTCATAGGCTACAGCGTTGTGCACGGTCTACACTAGATCATACTAGATGCCTACCTCAACATAGTGCACAGACCCACTAATTAATGGGTGGCTCTTTCGGAACAGATATCACTTGAGGTCAGCAGGTAAGTCAGATTCCTACAACTGAGACTATTTTTAGTCTGACTAGTCCGCAAACAGAAGCACTAGGAACAGTCAATAGTTCTAACTAATGTTGTCTGTCAGATGTCAATGGCAGTCCATCTAACTAATCAAAACATAAAAATAAAATCAGTTGTGTGGATAGGACAGCATGGCATTTTCTCGAACTTATCAACTGGAATCAACCCCTCCCTTAGTTCCCCTGAGTATCACTTGACGTCAGCGTCCCTGAGCAATCTGGAGGCGTAGCGTGTCTAAAGGTGTGTGTGTCCGGCCCACCCCTGTGCCCCAAGTATCCACTGAGCCGGCCAGCCTTGCACGTATTTTTATCCTCGGCGTGCCACGAGCCTTCCAACCATTGACTGATCCAAGGGCAATTTAACGTCCACCCCCAAGTGACTCCAGGAATTATTTTACGTCGCAGCCGGACGACGATCACAGTCAATGGTTCCCCTTCCCGTGTTTATTTATAGACGTCGAGTGCACGTCTTTCCTGTAGGGCTGGCCTGCCCAGTGGTACCCATCTAATAGCGCAGCAAGCCGAACAAAGGACAAGCAGCTAGGCATGCGTGCTCTACTCCCTTTGGGTTGGCATGGTGACCGTGACCCAGTGCTTCGTCCAGGGCCCTTCAGAAAGCTCCGCCCATCTCCCCTTCGATGCTCCACGTGAACATTGCCGACTCTCAAGGTTGAGCGCACTCGACACCTCACGATGAGAGGACTCTCAAGAAGGAACACACAACCTCACGGTAAGAAGTTTCGGAGAGGGAAGATAAGGTTAAGAGCAACGTACCTCATTTAGCTGCCCCCAACCACAGAGATAATCTCACCAGATGACCAAATGGCGATTGCGATGACCAGTCACTGCATCGGCACAACCAACATTATCTCGCCGCTCCACCTCAGCGTCAATCGCACCTTAGATAGTTCTCATCACACTGTCCAGACCACATTCACCTCAAATAGCCTTCCTGACAATCCCCTCACCTCCTGGGTCGCCAACACACTCATCTCCACCCTCCTCACTACACACCACTTACGGCCAAACTCGCCCAGCAGACCGCATGTATGTACCGCATAAGGCAGAAGACAAGCGCTAGATGAGCGCAGTCGTACCACAACTCCGATACCAAATTGCAAGGAAGATGAGCAATAGCGAACTCCAGCAATCAAACAGCATCATACATATGAGTCCAATCTCATGGACCTAGTTTGTGTAGAGGCCGTAGCTGCAGTAATTTGGAAAGGTCAAGGTCGTAGCCTGGTACAGTCCTAAAAGGTTAAAGGTCGTAGCTGCTACAGTTCCGAAAGGCCAAGTCCGCAGGCTTCCGGAAGGTTTGGAAGTGGCCTTTCGAACGTTGTTCACAGCTGACTAGAGGCAAGTGGGCAAGTGGTGAGTCCAACCTTGCTTAGTCAGCGGTACCCAGTCCTAGTCTCACCTAGTCCAGTTAGCAAGTACCATGTGGGACTGTGTGCACCAAGGGTCCGGTGGAAAGGGGGCAGACCAGCGACCAACAAAAGTATAAATCAAGAGGCAACGTCCAGCCATTCGTTCATTCTGCTGCGAACCAAGTGGAAGAGCTGCCAGTGTGTCTTGTGCGAGGTGGTCCGCAGATGCCCAAAGCCAAAGTGGGCTGCGAGGGAGACAGAGCAGCCGTAATTGCTAGTAGTGATAGGGTTAGTGGTTAGCCATAGCTGCGCTAGGTTAGAATAGTCTTCAGTGTGTGTGTACGAGTGTGCAGTAAGAGTGTGTACGCGTGGGATATTCAGGGAGATCCAGTGATGTGTGTGTGTGAACAAGTTGTGAAGATACAGTGTCGTGGGGGTTGATGTAAGGGCGCACAGGCGCCATAGCTACTTGAAGCGAGTTTGTATCTGAACTGTGTTCTCACCTGTTTTATCTCTGAGCTTTGTGTGGGCGCCTGGCGCCAGGGTGATTTGCCATATGTTTACATGCATGCGAAGTGAGAAGAAAGTGAGTCTGATTGCATTGGTATAAGAGCAGGTTCCCGCTATTTCACGTGCCATAGCAGAAGTACGCCGTTGAAGAAGAAGGGTCTACCATAGCCGCGCCGTTGAAGGAAGGTGCCGCGTACCTGCAAAGAAGACAACGACAAAGAAAGAAAGAGAAAGAGAGAGAGAGAGAGGAGCGATACAATATTGGTTGTGCGGTCTAAGATAGGAGGTGGCGGCCATAGCCGCCGAGCTCGGACATACGAAGAAATAGAGGAAGACGAAGAAGATTAGAAGAGGATAAGTTAAACGGAGGAGGAAGGGGAGACGAAGAAGGGGGTGAAGAAGAAAGAGACGAGGGATGAGAAAGAAGCCATAGTCGAGGGTGAAGGAGGAGGTAGGAGGAAGGTGAAAGAAGGTGAGAGAGAGAGGGTTGGCAGCCATACCTAGCGTTGACCAAGGCACTTATCAGCGTTGACCGGGGAGTTTGCCAACGTTGATCGGGAGTTTACCAGCGTTGACCAAGACCAGCGTTGACTGAGGAGTTGACTGGGACGTTGACTAGCTTTGATCGAGGTATTGACTTGGGCGTTGATCGGAGTTGTTGACCACGAAGTTGACCAAGCTGGAGTTGGTATACTTTCGCCAAGCCTTCAGCCTATCCCCTCGCCCTATGGATGTGCTCTCACCCATGGTACTTGCTGAGTCTGTCTGTCTCTTCTTTCTGCATTGAGTCTCTCCTGTCCAGGTGATAGGAACTCTGTGCATGAGGTCGTAGAGCTGCGTTGACAAACTCACACGGGCTGAGTAGGGCTAAAGGCCGTGCCCGACGACCCGGAGGACAAAACCTCCCAAGGACCGGTACAGATCGGCGGGATGCTTAGTGTGGCATGGTAGGCCCAACATCCGAGTTGTGTTCTACACAACCAGCTGTCTAAGTGTTGAGAGGACTTGCTGATCGCGTCGTCCTGTTTGCGACGTTGAACAATTCCTGAGCAGTTATGGGGGATCTCCTTAAATGCCTCTTGATCAGCGTTGAAGTCCTGTAGTGACAGCTTAGTAATAGGACTAGGCTAGAGACCCTAGTTGACAGGGTCCTGAACCAGAGTGAAAGCCAGGTACGATTGACCGCAGGTGCAGGGCATCTGGGTCTGGATTGTACAGGACAGTGGTGGCGAAAGCTTCCGTCGGTCGTGGTAACCTAGCTGGATCAAAGGGTAAGGTTGTGTGGTCCTTAGTTAATCAATAAGTTCGGTCAGTCAGTGGGTGGAAATCTAAGTGGTGAGGAGTGGAATTGTCACTCAGTTGTGCATCTGTCACCATGGTTGACCTGCGTAGTGGTAAGAGCACCACCCCGTACACTAAGGCTCAGGAAGAGTAAGCCGTCGCCGTTCCAAAAGACCGAAAAGAGAAAGAGGCTAAGAAAGAGTTGATTAAGCAGGCCAAGAAGTTGGCCTTGATGGAAGAGCAGGCGGCGAAGAAGAAGAAACTGGAGGAGGAGATGGAGACGAAGAACTGGAAGTGGAGGAGGAAGTCCCCTTAGAAAGAAGGGCCAGAATGGAAAGGGGAGAATCGAGCAGCACGAAGCAAGAGGACCAGTGGATGGAAAAAAAGATTTCAGAGTGGGTTGCGAATCTGTCGTTGGGAGAGGAAGAGGAAGCGATGCTATATGTCCCCAGGGAAGAACGAGAGGCGGTGGTGAAACAGTTAGAGGAAGAAGAAGACCCCTTACACCGCCAGGTCATAGAGGAGGAGAAGAAGTTGGAGTGGAAGTTGCGCCTCGCAAGAGAAAAGAGACAACGATCGGATGCAGCAAATAGGGTGGCGAAGGAATTGAAGGTGGTGGAGGAGCAAAAACAACAAATGGAAGGCCAGACAAATGTGCTGAGGAAGATGGAGATTATGGCTAGGAATATAGAATTATTGGCAAAGACCCATCAGGAGCAATATCAGTTGGTTAGGGGCCAGGATATCGCATTGCAATCCATACACCCGGGGTTCAGAGAGTTTGTGCGCGAAATGATGATGCATGTGGGCACAAAAATGAGGGCCAGTATAGAAAGCACTGAGCGATTTTGCACGGGTGCCATAGAAGGCGCCAAGCTTGCTGCTCCAAAGGAGGAGGAAGCTCGTCCCCGTAGAGAGCCAGTTAAGATTAAGTTTCTTGATCCCTATAGCGGGAAGAAGGAAGAGAATTTTGATAACTGGGAGGCGAACGTTAACTCGTACGTTCACTTGCAGAAGATCATACCTGAGGAGCAACTCCTCATCGCCTTTCATGCCCTCAAAGATGAAGCGGCCAGATCGCTTGCCCGTGTTGCCAGTGTGATAATAATATGGTATCGTATTCCAAAATTACCCTCCTCTCCGAGTTTTTCAAACTGCTCCGTGAAAGGTTTGTTGATGTCACACGAGGCATTAGGGCCTCTGAGAAGTTGCAAACAATCCACTCTCGCCAATGGAGGAGTGTTGGGGCACTCAAAGGCGTAATGGATGAGTTAGTCGTTGTTTCTGACCATGGGATCACTGAGACCCAACTGGTCAACCTATTTTATCGTGCCATGCTCGGGCCGCTGCGTGGGCACTTCTTCGAAAAGAGCAAGGAGTCGGCCATGACCTACGATACTTTGAGTAGGGAAGTGGTAGCTTTTGAAGCGCAGTCCATGCCAGTTTCCACTTTTTGGCATAAGGACCTTGACAAGGGCAAAAAGTGGAAGGGTCGTACCATCTCTGGCCAAGTTAGGGCCAAGGATCATTTGATCCGTACTTTAGATGAAGGTGGTATGGAAGAGG